TTGCCTTAATAGTGCCCATTGTGTATATAATAAGAGCAATGTTTACACTTTTATAGGATTTTTACCTGTGGCAGAACCAGTGGTAAGTCACTGGATTGCTGGCCCAGGGTAGGGGTGTAAAGGAAGCACCCATTCTCTCCTCTCCTGCATTTCTGGTATGTAGTTAGTCAGATCCCCTGCCAGACACCAGGAATGCACCCACAGAGTTCCCCCCCAAGCAGGAGGGGGCTGAGTGCTTGGGGAGAGAGAAAACTGAGCAGCCAGGGTTCAGAGCAGGGAGTGCAGCCAGAGAGAGAGTGTTGGGAGCCATTTACGAGGGGGTCCTGAGCAGTGCCAGAGAGAGCGACTGATGCGAGCGAGGAGAGACTGAGCCATGAGAACAAACCCTTTTATTCTCAACTTTATTCCTGCCTTCTTTCAGTCTCATGTAATTTATAAAGAACTTGCCCCTGGCAGGAAACCCCCTCCTCCCAGAGCTACAACAGGACAGGCTGTGAGTGCATTTCAGCACAAAATATTAATTACACACAAGTGAAGAAGACACAAATAAATGGAAAGATCTACTGTGTTCATGGATTAGAAGAATCAATACTGTTAAAATGTCCATACTATCCAAAGCAATCTATAGATTCAGTGCAATCCCTATCAAAATACCAATGGCATTTTCCTCAGAGTTAGAAAAAATAATTCTAAAATTACATATAGAACCATAAAAGGCCCTTAATAGCCAAAGCAATCTTGAGAAAGAGTAAAGCTTGAGGTATTATGTTTCTGGATTTCAGACTATAGTACAAAGCTATAATAATCAAAACAGTATGGTACTGGCATAAAACTAGACACAGAGATTAATGGAACAGAATAGAGAGCCCAGAAATAAGCCCCTGCTTATATGGTCAATTAATCTAAGACAAAGGATGAGAAAATATACAATGGGGAAAAGACAGTTTCCTCAGTAAACGGTGTTGGGAAACATGAAAAAAATGAAATTGGACCACTTTCTTGTATCAGATACAAAATTAAACCCCAAATGAACTGAAGACTTAAATGTTAAGACCTGAAACCGTAAAACCCCTAGAAGAAAGCATAAGCAGTAACTTCTCTTACATCAGTTTTAGTGGTATTTTTTTTGGCTCTGTCTCCTCAGACAAAGACAAGAAAAACAAAAATAAACAAATGGGATTCCATGAAACTATGAAGCTTTTCCACAGAGAAAGAAACCATTTCATATGTGGATTTTATATGTNCCATGAAACTATGAAGCTTTTCCACAGAGAAAGAAACCATTTCATATGTGGATTTTATATGTGGAATATAAACAAACAAACAAATTAATAGACCTATAAATACAGACAACATACTGTTAGTTACAAAACAAAACTACCAAGTGGGAGAATATAACTGCAAATCATATATCCAATAGGGGTTAACATCCACAGTATATAAAGAACTCATACAACTCAATATCAAAAAAACAAGCAATCTGATTTTAAAATGGATAGAGGAACTGAATACACATTTTTCCAAAGAAGACATGCAGATGGCCAACAGGCTCATGAAAAGCTGTTCAAAATCACTAACCATTAAAGAAATGTAAATCAAAACTATGAGATATCATTTCACATGTGTCAGAATGACTATCATTATAGACAAGAAACAATAAGTGTTGGTGAGGATGTGGAGAAAAGGGAACCCTTGTGCACTGTTCATGGGAATTTAAAATAGTGCAGCCAGTATGGAAAACAGTATGGAGGTTCTTCGAACAAAGTAAAAATAGAAATACCATATAATCCAGCAATTCCACTTTTGGGTATTTATTCAAAGAAAATGAAAACATTGATTCAAAAACATACATGTACCTCTATGTTCATTGCAGCATTACTTATAATAACCAAGATATGGAAGCCACCTAGGTGTCCACCAGTAGATGACTGGATAAAGAGGATTTAATACATATATACAAGAATACTACTCAGCCACAGAAGAATGAAATCCTGCCATTGGTGACAACATGGAAGGACCTAAAGGGATTATAATTAGTGAAATAAGACAGATAAGTCAGACAAATGCCATATGATTTCACTTACATGTGGAATCTAAAAAATAAAACAAATGAACAAACAACACAAAACAGAAACAGATTCATAGATAACAGAGAACAAACTAATAGTTGCCAGAGGAGAGGGAGGTATGGGGATTAAATAGGTAAAAGAGATTAATTAAGAGGTACAATCTTACAGCAATAAAATAAGTAAGACACGGGGATGTAATGTACAGCATAAGGAATACATTCTGTAGTATAGTAATAACTTTTTATAGTGACAGGTGGTAACTAGACTTATTTTAGTAACCATTTCTTAATGTTTATACATATCAAGTCACTATGTTGTATACCTGAAACTAATATAATATTGTATTGCAGTCATTCTTCAGTTAAAAATAATCAATAGAGGCAAAAAACAGAAATTTATCAGAAAAGAACAAGAGTTTGAGGTTGTGGAGATTTCTCATTGGCAGAAAAGTAATGGCTAGTTAGTGCACTGTTGCTGGGGCAAAGAGAGATCTTCCTTCTTTTTCTTAAAAGCAGGAGATGAAAGTCCTATTTGAAAAAATATCCCCCCTTGTCAAGATAATTATTTTCTTCCTTCTTTCTGCTGGTCGTGTAAGCTGCAAGGAGTGGTACCTGACTGCCCCTTCATGGCTCTCTCACTCCATTTTAGAAAACATTTCCTTTATTTATTTTCATAGGTTTTAATGTCAAAGGGAGAAGGTCCTTAGAGATCTCTTGGGTGCAGCATAATGTGCACTTTAAGATTAATATTCTGGAGCAACTTGTTTCACAGAAGGTTAGCCCAGAAAGAAGAGGGAAGTGTCAGTAGGCTGAAGGAGTTTTATTTAATTTTTCACCTATTGTTAGATTTAGATAAACCACTGCTTCTTTAAGGTACTAACATTAGATAACAATGTAAATGTTTCCACTGTGAGGGCTCAGTCCTAAGCATTCCATTTGCGTTTGCATCTCATTCTCTGACGAATTTCCATTTTACTGACGAGGAACCTGAGAAGCAGAAAGGATAAGGAATTTATCTAAAGTTTTGCCACTAATAGTGTGAGAAACAAGTATATAACCCATGCCTCCTTACTACAGATTCCTCGGAATAAAAAGAAAATCTTTTTCACCTACAGTTCTGTCACCTCGCCACAAAATAAAAATCACTAGTCAAAAAAAATCCTTTAATAACACTGTACATCAATTTCAAACTATTTTCCCCGAGTCTCTAACCGAAGCTTTAAATGAATGTTTTTATTAGACATGGACTGAGGAGAAAGCACTGGAAAATGTAGGAGGAAATTTCAGGTAGGCCCCCCAAACGGTGTTAAACTGGGCTATGCAATGGCCCCTTCTTACACCGTTTCCCCCCAAGTCATAAACGCTCTTCCTGACCGCCTGGTGTTGTATTTCACCCAGAAATGAAACTAACCCGCCGGCAGGCCTTCCATTCCGGAGTACAGTGCGCGTAATTCCCGAGTTGGCATCCAACCCCCAGTGTACCGACCGCGGAGCGCGCCGAGCGGTTCAGATGACCCCTGGAAACTGGGCAACTGGGAATTCAGTGCAACCAGCACGGTTGGCTTGATGTGGGTGAAGAAATCAGGGGGCACATCTGATCAGAATCGAGTCTGAGAGGCACGATCTGGGGGGCACAGCGCCCGCCCTAGGTGTGTCCGGGTCGGTCCCGGAACTGGTTAACGAACCCCGATTCCCGGGAAGTGCAGGCAGCGCCGGAGCTCGCTCGCAGGCCGGGGCCGCTGCCTGGGGGCGGCTGGTGGCCGCACGCTCCACCCCGGTCCCTCCTCCCGCTGCGCCGGGGGAGGGTCGGGTCGGGGCGAAGGCCCGCGCGGGGCGGACGGAGGNGGAACCCTGGATTCTTATGACAACCAGCCTAACTGGCTGTGTGACTTTGTGTGAGTCAGGAACCCTCTCTGGCTTCAGTTTTCTTGTCTGTACTCTTGGGAGGGTAGAAAAACCAGAGCTTTATGACATAATCTAGCCCAACAGTTGTCAGAAATATTCTTCCATGTTCCCACTAATCTAACATGCTTTTCTTCTCATATTTTCTTCTAGTCTTTATTTATGTTTATACAAATATTAACATGCATATTAGGATTACCTAGAGTGTTTGCTATTGTTTGTTTTTAATACTGATGCATGTACCTTAGTGCAGACCAACAGCCTCAGAATTTCTGGAGGTAGGATGGTCTTAGTATTATTACTAAGATCTCCAGGAGAGTTCTTAATGTACAGGCAAGCCAGGAACCACTAACTTTTCTGCACATGCCTCTTTACAGTTTATTATTAAATGTAGATTTATCTTAGAATGTGTTTATCCTCAAATATTGAATTAACAGAGAAATATTCTTCTATGTTCCCACTAATCTAACATGCCTTTTTTCTCATATTTTCTTCTATTCTTTATTCATGTTTATACATATTTTAACAGAGTAGTAATTCTAACCACATTCATTATTTTCCCATGCTAAAACTATTCTTTGATGTTGCTACCTCACCTTTGTAACTACAATTTCAATGCAAACCCATTATTTGTATAAGCACTTGACTGTTTTAGACATTCAGATGATTTTCATTTTTGTACTCTTGATAAGTCAGAGATGAACATATTTTTGCAGGTGTCTTTGTCTTTTTAAAAATTGTTTATTCAAAAGAAATTCCCTTAAGAGAAGTTAAACATTTATATTGCTTTGTGTATACATGTTACCAGAAGGTCTTCCAAAAATTGGATGCAATTTGTAGTGTGATCCATAATGAGTAAGTGAGGCACTGTCACTGCAGGTTTGCCTACAAGCACTTGGTATTTAGAAAATATTTCTGCTAAAATAGATGTACACTGGTACTGCTTTAATATCTCTGTTACCATGGACTCCGAGCTCCCTGAGGACAGAGGTAATGCTGCTTTTCCCCTTATGGTTGTTTCATTGGCACCAGTCTATGCCTGGTACATGGTAGATGCTCATTAAATCTTTGTGGACTAAATAAGATAAATGATCTACTGAGAGTCAATGTTCTTTTTTCACTACTTTTATTTTCCTGCATGTAGATTGAGAGCCCACATTCTTAGAAGAAGCTGTACCTCTTTTGTCTATTAACTAATATGAACTATTCAGGAAGCAGAGCCACTGAGCTATGTGAAAAAGAAGTAATTTAGTATAGGTTGCTGTTTGCCCAGGTGATGGAAGAGCTGAGACACCCACCTGGGGATGGATGGTGAGGCACCTCATAGGAAGCCACTGGCACCCTGCCTTAGGGTGTGTTTCCCAGAAGCAGGCTGTTAGAAAAGTCTGCACCAAGTGCTTTAGGAAGCAACCCTAGGTAAAACTGTTAGGGAAGTGAGACCAGGAGGGAAAGAAGTCTAGCAAAGATTTCATAACCAAGCCAAGTCCCACAGAAGATTTTGGCTCAGTACTGCTGAAGAGTACTGGGG